TACTTGACTTCCATTCATCAGTTTTGCTTCCAATGAATTGGAGATCCCTTTCAGAATCCTACCCCCTGCCCAGTTTAAGTCCTGTCCAATTGCATCAGCAGTTCTCCCAAAGGGGACACTAGCACCATCCTGCCAAGATGCTGACCTGAATGCCTCAGATTTCTGAGGTCCACCCTCTTACACTCGTTCTCCAGCCACACGTTCAATTGCTCAATTCTCCTGTTTCTACACTTACTAGCATGCTTGGGTTACTGCATTAGAGGTCCTCCTTAGCTCCATAAAATCTGCTTTCAAGACTTCATCCCATTTCTACCCAAGTCATTGGCACCAACATAGACCACAACCTCTGGCTGTTCACCCTCCCATGGAAAAGGTATCCTGCAGCCAATCCTTGACCCTTGCACAATGGAGGGAGTCAGTCTGTCTGGTTTCTCTCCCCCCATCTTATTTGTTCGTTCACCACCTGCCACAAGTTTAGTCCGATAGTTACGTCCTTTAGGACCTGACCATCTCTATCAGGACTGCAAAGAGTCCTCAGGGGAGGTTTAGCACAATTGATTCAGGGATATGGGATTTTAGCTAAAAACCACTAGATTGGAGAAGCTGAAATTGTTCTCCTTGCAAAACAAAAAGGAGGCTAACAGGAGATCCATAAGAGATTTAGAAAAAAGGTAAGTATAAAAAAAAACACCATTTTCAATAGCTAACAGTACAAGATCAGGGATACAGATTTAAGGTTTTGGGCAAGAATTGTACAAGAGCAGAAATTTTTTTAAATGCAGTGAGTGAGAATGGCCTGGAACTCTTATAAGACTGCAATTATTGATTGCTACCATCTCTGTCTAAGGAGAATTGGCTAGGCACTCGAGGGAAAAACAACTTACCAGGCTGTGGGGATAAAACGGGACAATGGAACCAGCTGGACTGCTCTACAGAGAGCCAGTTTGGAACTCAAAGAACCAAATGGTCTTTTGTGCCTTAAAAGTCTATTACTAACTAGCAATCATTCCCATCCCGGTCGTGGATAGGTGCATCTGTGACAGGTTGGAGGAAGAATTCAGTCTTTTTTCTCACATTAGTGGTCCCAACACCTGCTCCATAGTCAGCATGACAGTTATGTCTATTGAGACTTGACTAGTTGTGGTTTCAAGCCACTTGCTGTTGATTGTATTTGGTTTCATGATTCAGATTAGAATGACCTTGAGAACGCTCATTATTTCTTGTGAACACAGTAAAATTTGTATTTGTTAACCAAGTCGCCATTTGACATTAGACAGTCTCCTTCATATCTAGAACATACTGAGGTTTATCTACCGCCTGCATAAAACACAAAATATTTCACAACCACCATTCACAATGAGTTTCTATCTTGTTAGCAAATCTCATTCATTTCGCACTAACAATGTCTCATACAGAACGTAGGAAAATAGCATGAATGGGTAATATGGTTCTTTGAGTCAGCTCCAACACTGAATATAATTACTATAATTTCATATTAACTCCACTTCCCAATGCTACTCATTCATATTCCATAATGTCCAAAAACTTATACATCCCAGTCTTGAACATTCTCATTAACTGAGCAGTCACTGTAATTCTCAGGTTGAGAATCAAACAATCTAATTAAAGAAATCTTAGTCTGAAATTGTTGCTCCCTTATGACAATTGTTCTTCATTCTAGCCTAACTAGGAGAAAACAGCCCCTTGGCAAGTGACTTGCCAAACCTTAAGAATTTTGTATATTTCTCTAAAATCCTTCTAAATTCTAATATTTACTAGTGTCTTACTTTTGTTTCCCCCAAACATATTTTGCTTTTTCATGTTTCATACTTTCTAACGTTACATTCCATCTACTACATTCTTAGCTGATCACATCACATTTTAGTCTCCTCACACAACTTGCTTTCCCTCCTTGTTTTGCAAGTTAGAGAATTTGTATACATTACACTCTGTTTCCTCATGAAGTTATTGACTGACTTTGATAGCAGGGATTCAGGTGATAAACATTGTGACATTCTAATCCTGTACTGATAATCTTAATTTCTGCCTTCTCTTTCCTAACCAGTGCACAATTAATGCTAATCTATAGCAGCCAATCTGAGAAGCTGTAATTTTGTGTAACATATTGTTTAGATCTACTGAATCCTTTAGACAGACACAATCTAAATACACTGTATCCACAGGTTCCCTTTATCCGCCCGGCTACTTCTAACCTCAAAAGACCAATTGATACATTAAAATCAAATTTTGCTTTCACAAACTACATCAGCTCTGCCTAAAATGATTTGTTAATCAGAGCTTGTGGGAGAAATGTTGGTTAGGATATCTGAAGGATTCCACTCTTCTTTAAGTTGTACGACTAGATATTTGAAAAGTCAATTTGAAAAGTCAATTTGACCAAACAGAATAGGCAGTTCTTACTTCAGCACCCCAGTTTTCTCATGATACAACATTAAAATCAGTCACAACATGCTCAATGGAATTAAATGATATTGCCCGTTTTCATTAGATAATGAATTTGGGCATTTTGTTTTGCCTAAGCTAAAAAGTCAAAGCTCTGACTCAAGAAAATCAGGCACCACTTAGATTTTAAAGATGTTGTCATTTTAACACAACCTCAATAGTAATCTTATTCGGAAGCAATGAAATTCATTCATTCTTCCCTGCCATCTCAAAGTTTTAAGGACGCTAACTATGGAAATGTTAAAACATGGCACCAGATGAAATACAGTGTTTTTGAAAAGGTCATATTAAAGTCAAACTAAATTTTAGATTTTCTAAGCCATGTCTAACCTTGTTTATTACACCACACAAACTCTCTCTCAGTTTGTGCTTAAAAGCATAAAAAATTGCAACTTGTGAAAATAGGATTACTAAGTTGTTTCAACAATAAGCACTCTGCTTGTATCTAATCCAGGCAGTAAGAAACTTCAAAGCTGTTCCATTCTGCCTTAGTGTATATTAAATCCCAACAGCAGATCATGACTGGGTCAGTAATACCTTTCAATTTCATTTATTACAATCCAAAGAGAACTGGCAATTTGGTGACAAGTTAGCAATAGCTTTGGGCTGTGGATCTTGATTATTAGAAACCATTTGAAAGTTCACAAATGTTTTCAAACATCCTCTTACAGTCTGAGTTAAATGCTGGCATTTATCCAATGGCTATATAATCCAGTCCATACTGATTAGACGAAAGTGGCAGAAATGTTGATTAGGACATCTGAAGAACACTAGCAATCTAAATACTCTGCATCCGACTAGTCCCATTTACTTACCCTGCGACTTGGAACCTCAAAACACTAATAGATCTGCTAAAACTCAAATTTTCCTTTCATAAAACTAAGTTGATTCGGCTGATTACTGGCTGGAATTATTTTAGATGAAATTAAGGCAAGCTTACTCCAGTTTCTCATGTGTCGCAATAATAAACCTGTATTAAAGTGAATTGGTACAGGCTTTGAGAGTAAAGGACAAATTACTAGCTTTGTAGAGTTTCTTTGAAGTTTGGGGTATGGAGAAATTTAGCTAAATCAATATAGCTGAAGCGTTATTCAAAATTTCGTATTTTGTGACAAGTGGTCAAGCATTAGATACAGAATTTGAAAGCAATAATTTCTGTGCCAGGATCATCATCTCATGTAAAGACCATAAGAAAACAAGAACAGGAGTAGGTTGTTCGGCTCAAGACTGCTCAGCCATTCAAAAGGATCATGGCTGATCAGATATTCCTTACATCCACTTTCCTGCCTTTCCCCCATACCTCTTCATCGCCTTACTCCTCAAGAATCTATTGCAGCCTTACACATACATGTAAGGACTATGCCCCCACAGCTCTCTGCAGCAAGGAATTCCAAAGACTCTCAACCCTCAAGAGATTCCTCTTTGTCTGTCTTAAATTGGCACCCATTTATTCTGAGGCTATGCCCTCTGGTCCTACTTGGTCCCAAGACTGGAAATCTTCTCAGCATTTACCCTGTGAAATATCCTCGGACTCCTATACATTTCAATGAGATCACCTCGCTTCTAAATTCCAGTGAGTAGACTCCCAACCTGTTCACCTTTTGCTCATGAGGCAATCCCTCCAAAACAGGAATCATCTTTGTGAACCTTCTCTGAACTGTCTCCAATGCAGTCATATATATTCTTAAATAAGGGGACCAAAACTACTCATAGATGCGGTCTCATCAGCTCCTTGTACAGTTGCAGTAAGATTTCCCTACTCTTACATTCCAATCCATTAGCCTTCCCGACTACCTGCTGCACTTGTGTGCTAGCTGCGTTGAGCGAAAGTACCCCAAGTCCCTTTGTGTTGCAGCTTTCTGCAATTTTGTTCTCCCTTCCAAAATGAACATCTTCATATCTTCCCACATTATACTCCATTTTGTCAACTTCTTGCCCACTTCCTTAAACAATCTCTCTAAACTGTTTCCATCCCCTAAGCAGCTTGCCTTTTCACTTATTTCAGTGTTGTCTCAAATCTGGCTACAGTACATTTGCTTTCTTCCTCCAACATCAATAACATATTAGAGTCAGTAATTCATATGGAAACAGGTGCGTTCCAACACTGATCCATGTGGAATCCCACTGTTCACACGTTGCTAACCTGAAAAAGAACCCCTTATCCACACACTGCTTCCTACCCATCAGTCAATTCTCTATCCATGACAATATACTACCTCCAACACCATGGGTTCACATGACTTAACCTTTTGAGGTAACTTGATGAACGCCTTCTTGAAGTCCAAATACATCTATTGGTTCCCCTACTTCCATGCTGGTTGATATTTTCTCAAAATATTATTGCAGCAGAATCTCAAAAATTTTATACCACAACCTCATACCACACAACATAAAAGTTAGCCATTTGACATATTAGAATTTTTGAATAAACATGATATACATCATCAAGCACTGCCAGTTTTATTGAAATAGTCTTACATCACGAAATGTACACTTCAGAAAATTTTTAAAATTCTCAATAGCAACAATGAAATTACCTTCCCAATCACTTGTCTCAGTCACCCTTTTCAGATCAAGGTGAGCAATTTCTGGCCGCACTCTGTTATCCTGATTAGAAACTTCTTGGTTTTTTGACACATCAGGCTCTTTATTAGCATTTAAATCATAAATTTCCGTAGATGAATTCTAAAAGATAAATGGAAAAAAAATTCAAAAAAGCCTCATTTTATTACCAATCTGTTATCAATTAGAATTATAGAATCCCTACAATGTGGAAACAGACCATTCGGCCCAACAAGTCTGCACCGCTCCTCCGAAGAGCATCCCACCCAGACCCATTCCCCTACCCCTGTATTTCCCATGTCTAACCCACCTAACCTAAACATCCCTGGGCACTACGGGCAATTTAGCATGGCCAATCCACCTAGCCTGCACATCTTTGGACTGTGGGAGGAAACCAGAGCACACGGAGGAAACCTACGCAGACATGGGGAGAATGTGCAAACTCCACACAGTGTCACCCGAGGAGGCTGGAATTTAACCCGGGTCCCTGGCGCTGTGAGGGAACAGTGCTAACCACTGAGCCACCGTGCTGCTTAAATCAATATGTAATTGTTAGTCCAAATGAATACAACTTCCAAGGAAAAGCCTAGAAGTAGAAGAATCCAAGAGTAAAAGCTGACATGTACTTAAAATATTTTTTTCATATTCATTCACTGGATGTGAACTTCACTGGCTGGGCCAGCATTTATTGCCCATCTGTAGTTACCCTTGAGAAGATGACTGAGCTGCAACCCAGAACTGCTGCAGTTCCATTTGGTGCAGTTACAACAACGTTGTTAGATAGGGAGTTCCAGGATTTTGACCCAGCAACAGCGAAGGAATGGTGATGCATTTTCAGATCAAAATGGCAAGTGGCTTAGAGAGGAACTTCAAAGATGGCTGCATTCCCACACATTTACCCCTCTTGGCATGTATGGCATCAAGCTTCTGGAGTATTATTAGAGTTTCATTCATCCAGGCAAGTGGAGTGTATTTCAATCACACTCCTGACTTGAGCCTTGGAGATGGCGGATAGTTTTTGGGAAGTCAGGAGAGGAGTTAAAAACCATGGGATTCATAATGTCTGACTTGCTCTTGCAACCATAGTATTGACATGGGTAGCCCAGTTCAGTTTCTGGTCAATTGTAACCCCCCAGGCTCTGATAATTGCAGATCTAAATGACTGTAATGCTAATGAACGTCATAGGCAATGGTTAGGTTCTATGTTGCTGAAAGTGGTCATTGGTAATATCTGCCTCCAATACCTAGATGTGTATTCAAATTAAGCAAACACTTCAACCATTTGATAATTCTGGCCGTAGCTTCACTGAAGTTGTTTTGGTAATAAATCTGATCTTCCAAACATATTTATTTACTTGCGAAAGTGTAATGGTAATTCTGAAGTTGATCAATTGGCCTAATCAAACAACTGAACTGAAAGGTTTGCACTGGATTTTTTTTTAAATGATCTATTTCCTCATCACTGACTTATCTTTATGCTCAGCAACCTTCATTCCATAAAAGATTCCACAAGGTTTTTGTTTTGAAGGAAAATCAAGTGATATTTGTCTCTTATTTGTTGCTCACTTTTCATATTCTTTAAAGGACTGAGTAAACAGGTGGCTTTGTACCCTCTTAGGCTGGAAAAGTACATTATATTCAGACTATCTGGTAGTGTAAAGAGCATCAATAATTCATTTCCTTCACCTGCCCATTGATTTCCCTCTTTATTGCTAATTATCAGCTGCCTTGATAAAAAGGGGATAGTTTCCACTGGGAGGAGATCCATTCATTGAAACAGATAAATTGCTTTTGTTTTCACCACAAGAGGTAAGCACTCAGTCTCTCCTTTGCTGAGCTTATCATAAGTTAGATTTCAAATGCAAATCTATAACTAAAACAGAAGCCCTTTTTCGTAGCAAAGAAATTTAATGACTTTCATATTATTTAGGAATAAATTATATTTAATTGATAGACAATTAATAAATTTATGAGCATTTATTCCACATTTATTGTAATTGAAATAGAGGACTGAATACATGTCAGGATCTTGAGATATATGAAAATATTTAGCCAAAAAGATGTTCTCAAAAAAAAAAACTAGCAATTGAATTATCCAAATGAACAAGTGATCAAAGGGGGAAATCACAGAAGCTTTAGAAAAGATATCCTTGGCAAAATAAGAGAAGTTACAGTTTTACTGGAAGGAAAAATCAGTACAAGTTCACTCAGCAGTTCTAGCAGTGGATTCACCTAGATCACAAGTAAAGACGAGTTGGCTGCAAGTCTTAATCTGTAAAAACTGTTGGTGCAATGGTTTCTTTTAATAGAAATATGCCCAAATGTAATATTCTAGCTATCACGAATATCATATACCAGATGAATAAAAAGTGCAGCAACTTCTTCCCCAGTCACTGGTTTTAAAACAGTCATTTTCCTATGTTAATCCATAATCAAAAATATGGAATAAAAAGATTCAATCTTTACAACAAAATTTTGCCAAAAAGCTTTGTTGCATTCCATCAGCTTTTAGGACTTGCTTGCTTAATTTTAAAGTCATTGCTCTTGATAACTCAGGGTTAAAATCATCCATCACTACTAAGGAGAATGTCTTAAAAATAACCATAATCACTCCCTTATTTTCTTTAGTTTGGTGTAATTTAAAATAATTAGTCCATGAATCCTGTTTAAAAAGCAAAGAATAAACTCATTCTGCAGTAACACTTGTGTTTGCACATTTTAAAAAATAACAGCAAATGTTTCACATACTATCGTAAAGTTTCTAATCGGGTTCTTACTCACCAAGGTTAACATGAAAGAACTGCCTATGTCAATTTCAGAAACAGAAGTACTTCCTGGCCTGCAAAAAAAAAAAATATTAAAATTATACAGAGCAAATTTTGTTTTGGACACACATTCAAACAAGTCTTCAAATAGCCGAGTCTTTTATTAGTAGTTTCAAAGTTAAAACAGACATTACCTAGGTCCCATTATCTGAATATATTAATTTGAATATTTTAAACGCAAGTACTTTTACTTCAGTACTCAAAATCTCCTATTATAGATTAGTAATTTGAATTCAATTTTTATAAACAATACTATCAAGTCACTGGCAATGTTATATTAACTGTACCTGAATTATCCCGACATTCTAGTTCTTAGTTAGAAATTTGTATTCCTATCTCAAAGCATGAATGCTGCAATTTTGACAACTTTGTTAAATATCAACAGTAACACAAAAGCTAGAAATGCCTCATGAAACATCTTTTCATTTATTAACTTCTCCAAAAGCCTCAAGAATGCTTCAAACCAGCATTAGCAGTACATGATGGTTTTGTCATTTTTCATGTTGTAGCTGAAATATTCGCTGACTGTCCTTTCCACCTAGAATTCCTGAACAGCAATCAGATACTCTGTTATCCAGACTGACGAGGTGAATTGCACAATTCAGCACAGACCAAGGAACAAATATATTTCTCACTACAATGCAGTCATTCATAAAACCATCTACAGATTGAAAGAATGATTAGTCATTTAATTCAGAAGCAAACAAAACATTTCTATTAATTCTTTCAGCTTCCTACAATACTAGCACTATATTTCGTTTCCTATGCTTTTCCAAAAAAAAAAAAACAAAACTTTTTAAAATTCATTCAAAGATGTGGCCATTTGCTAGATAGGCCAGTTTTATTGGTCATGACTAATTGCCCTCAAGAAGGGGATGCTGAGCTGCCTTAATGAATGGCTGTAGTCCATGTGGTACAGGTAATGAGGTCAAGAGCTGAGTGTGTCTGGTCGAACCCAAACTGAGCACCACCGAAAAACATTGTTGAGCAGGTGCTCCTTCAATGCATTGTCATACACACCTTCCATAACTCTTCTTACGATTGAGAGTAGACACGGGGCTGTAATTTAGATTAATTTTGACCTGCTTTCTGTAGACTGGACATAGAACACTGACATCTCTCTGGTAATAAGGCAACTATACTAGGACAACTTGGCCATCATACAATGCTACTAATATTGTCAGGGCCCATAGCGTTTGCAGCACCCAGTGCTGTCCGATGTTTCATGATGTCATGTGGAGTAAATCAAATTAGCTCAGGCTTGCATTTGCGATGCTGGGCACCTCAAGAGAAGGAAGAGATAAATCATACACTTGCCACTTTTGTTGTAGATGCTTGCAAATGCTACAGCCTTGTTTTCACACAAGTGCCAAACTCTCCCATCATTGAGGATGGAGGTATTCGTGCAGCCTCTCCTCCAGTGGATTGTTTCATTGTCCTCCACCATTGATGACTGGTTGTGGTGCAGCTGCAGACCTTAGATTGATCCATTGGTTGTAAGGGAATTGTTTAGTGTATGCTGCTTACATTGCCTGGGGGCATGCAAGTAGCCCTGTGTTACATCATCACTAGGTTGAAATTTTTTGGAATGCCTCTTGTTGCTCCTGCCATATCCTCCTGAAGTGATTGTCTGGTTGGTGGTAATGGTAGAGTGGAGCATGTGCTAGGTCATGAGGCTACAGATTGCAGTTGAATACAACTGTGCCACAACAATGCATCTTGAAGATACAGTCATGAGTTTCTAGATTTCTTCAAAATCTATCCCATTCAACAAGAAGGCAGTGTCTCACAACGTGAAGTAGAACTCGGTCTCCTCAAGGACTGTACCGTGTTTACTCCAACTGATACAGTCACAGTTATGAATCAGAGATTGCTCAGGACAAAATGCTGGTCACAGACCCAACCTAGTAGCTGTGTCCTTAAGAACTTTGCCAATAGTGGTGCTACCAAGTCACACTTTTGGTGATGGACAACTGAAGTCCTCCACCTAAAATGAAGCCACTTCCAGGGCCAATGACACCAGGCCTAGGGAAAAGAAAGATGGAGCTAATCTGTTGGGACAGGTTGCACTGGAGTTGGACCAGTGTCCTAGTCAATTCAATAACTCGACAAGTATACAGGATTTTAACATTTCTGAAGTGGGTACAAAGATTTAGCAAAGGATTGATTCAAAAGCACTAAGGGCAATTTCTCAAGGTTGTAGATTAGAATTTTTAAAATTAGAATAAGATTTTTATTCAAAATAACTAATAAGTAGAATAGCTAAAGGAACAAAACTCAAATGAGAGATTAAGGTGACTGGAAAAAAAAGAAAAAAGCTAAGCCAGCATAATAAACACCACGTATTTGTTACAAAACAGATTAATTACTGGCAGACATAAAAATTAATGAGTCTGAACTAATGCTATTGTGAACAGATGGCTGCAAAGTCAAACTATGGGAACATCAGGAAAAGCTAATTTAAAGAAAGGAAAAGAAGGGTCATCCTGATAGTAAGTGATTGGATAAAGATTGTGGAGGAAAGGATTTAACATAGAAAGCCAACAGTGCAATCAGTTTGGATGTACCTCAGAAACAACACAGGGTAGAAAACATTGGCATAGGTTGTACATAGGCTGCCTAACGTTGACCGTTGCATCAGGTAAATCACTAGTCCGGAAATTTGAGGTGTAGGCAACAAGGACTATACAGTAATCATGGGTAACATTAACCTTCAGACACACTGGGCAAACCAAACATACTATAAATTACATAAAAGACAAGTTCACTCAATTAGAGCAAGTCAGTTTTCTAGACCAATAATTGATGCGATCTACAAAACTGTCAACTGGGACAGGCTTCATTAGAACCATTTTGGGGCCAGGGTCCTGGTGAGTCATAGTACAACGTAGGTTCCAAAACTAATTAGGGAGGGTGGGCAATTCAAGTGAAGGGAAGTTTAAAAAGTTCAAAAAAAAAAAATCAAGGTAGCAAAGTGCAGGTAGGTGAAGTGGCAAACAATAATCAATGTATGACAGGAAGGGGTTGAAAATATACATAGAAGAGTGCAGCAGACATGAGAACCAGAGTAAGAATGATTTTTTTTTTTTAAATCAAAGTTAAAAGCACTTTGTCTGATTATATGCAGATTTATAACAAGACAGATGAGTTGATGGCAATTGGAAATAAATGAATATGACCCGACAACTCTATGTAAATATGTTTGCATGGTGACCCATAACTGTGAACTTAATATTCAAGTGTATTCAATGTTCCAGAAGAATAGGCAAAAAAGGTAGGTGCTGGGGTAGCTTTGCTAATAAACGATATATCACTGGGTGCTGAGTAGTGATATATAGGTGCAATAGATCATGATGTGGAATCCATTTGGATGGAAATAAGGAATAGAAAGAGAAAGAAGTCATTGGTGAGAATTGTCTATCAGCCCCAAAAGAATCATTTCACTATAGGACAAATTATAAATCAAAAAAATGGAGGCATGTAAAAAGGGCACTACAATTATCATGGGTGATTTTATCAGCATACTGAAGACAAATCAGACAGGCAAAAGTAACATGGAAGATTAAATTTAGAGTGCATCAGAGATAGGTTCTGCAATGTACTGCTTGAACAAACAATCTGGAACAGGCTACTTTAGATCTAGCATTGTGTTTTGAGGTAGGATTAATAAGAGATTGGAGAGTTAAAGATCCTCTGGGCAGTAGCAATCACAAAATGATAGAACTTCAAATTCAGTTTAAGGGAGAGAGAGCTTGGAACTCAAACTGGTATCCTTAACATAAGGGGTACAGAGGTATGAAAAAAGGATCATCTAAAGCAAGCTTGGAAAATAGATAGAGGAAAGTCTGTGGGTGAGCAGATATTTCATAATGCACAACAAAAAATAATTCAAGTAAAAAAAACAGCTCCACAAGGATGGTTAATAAAAAGGTGGACAAAGACAGTACCCAATCAAAAACCAAGGCATATGAAATAGTGAAAACTAGTGGTAGGCCAGAGGATTGTAAGTTTATCTTTTAGGAACAAGCAGATGATGAAGAAGCTAATGTATAGGAAGAAAATTGGCTATGAAAGTGAACTGGCGAGAAATATAAAAACATTGTTTGGAGCATTTCCAAGGAGTCAGAAGAAACTCAAATGTCAATTGTGTGTTTTGCTGTTCACAGATGCTACCAGACCAGAAACCACAGTTTTTCCAGCATTTTCTGCTTTTATTTATTCTACGAGTATTGTGTTGTGCTCTAGACAGCAAGCCTCAGGTAGAACAGATTAGTCTTAGGATTGCCATTCTTTATCAGAATGACAGTGGTCTAAAATGAGTTAAACTAAGGACATATTGCATAGTCAAGGTTTAGATTTCTTTGCATAAAGAAGAATACATGGTGATCTAACTGAAGCATGAACAGGAGTCTATCTTACAAGACAATGTCACTGGCCTGGGTAGTTAGAATCAGCTTACATTAAATTAGGACCAGTGTCTCAAATTAAAACAGATTTCTGCTAACACTATAATCCAGTTACATGTATGGTCATGCAGGAAACAGGCATTTCCACAGAACAAGGATGGTGCAATGCCAGAGTGCAAGCAGTCAAATGTCTGTATTGATCTAGAACATAATAATTTGATCATTGGTGCTTACAAGAAATGGTACGAGGCAATTAAGGTCATGTAACTATGCGAATGGTAGAACTGGATACTCTTAGAAGGCCAAATGTATTTCAGATAATGTACTCGACTTATGTTAGTACCATCGTTTTACGAAAATTCAATTTGGTTGCACTATCCAGTTTCTTTGCTTCACCAGGCTTCATCGATCACACGCATGAGATAGATGACATGTTCCATTTATTATCACACATGCAAGCAATTCACCGTAAGGGGGATACAAGTTGTGTATATTTTAATATCATTTATTTCAGTGCGGATTTTGAATAAGTGACATGTGGGTTGGATGGTCTCCAAAAAATGGGTTTAATGACTAACAAAAATATATTTCTTTTGAAAAACAGTATG